AAAAAAAAAAAAAGAAAAAAGAAAAAAGAAAAAATCTATTAAGACCAGAAGTCTGAGCATGAATATATACACATGCAAATGTCATTACGTTTCTGCATTTGCTGCTTATAATATAGTACTCAATTACTACAGAACATATCATCAAAGCTAGAAAAAGAATTTCCAAGAAACTGTCTCAATAAGTGAGATGGACCGATATTTTAAGTGATGATTACCTGAGAAAGGTAGTTTCATGTCAAGATTGCACGTAACACGGTCTTCTTGGTATTCTCTACGCCCTTGATGAGTTGCATAATCGCAATTTTGTGTGGAATTTTCGAAAGATTTAGGAGAAAAAACCCACTGAGAACACTCGGGCGAGCTGAAAACAGCAAGAGCCCCACCTTCTTCATATGCCATCATACAAGACACCGAGACCTCATGAACAGCATATAAAACCGAAAACAAGAAAGATATAATAAACACTGAGAACAAAAGCCACTTCATCTTGAAGAAGTTCATTCAACGCTCTGAAATCCTGCAAAAACCAACACGAAAAAATTTCCAGCACAATGAGACACAAGCTAAGACAACATGGATAATCAAAGAGGATTGAGGCTCATATATCATTTAGGAATTAAAAAAATAAATAAAAAATTGATTGAATTTACAATGTTAGTAAAGTTAGTTATTTGTTTCTGCAATTGAAACAGGACACGATGGCAACTTTTGCCATGTAGGATGACACGTCAGCATTCCAGGCCCGTATCCCGGCCCGGTGATTCATCTTGCAATTTAAAAATGCAGCATTTGTGTATATTATTGTGATTTCGAAAAGGTTTAGTTTCGTTTGCAGACATGAACAAGGTCATGCCTTTTTTAGCAATTAGTCATATTATTGTTTACGGCATTTAGACAAACACATAACATGCAAACACTGTCAGAAATTTTGAAACTTACTATTTAGAATATCAATTCCCAAAGCAATCACTCTCATTACTTCAAGCTGACTTAATCTCCACCTGTAGCCGGCGATTGTAAACAAAAACCCATATTTAGAGCATATGGACAATCATTCTTACTTGGTTAAATGAAATAATCTCGACCCACGCAAATGTAAAACTATTCCGAAATCATGATACATGCTGTATGATTCAATACCTGTAAACAGAAAAAAATGAAATCCGGCCACAGATGATTTTCCGGCGGTTGTATAGAGATGATCCTGTTTGAGGTGGCTTGTGGTTGTTGAAAATCTTGCTTCTTTCACCTGTAAACAACACAAGTTAGTTTTTGTTTGATATAGTTTAAAAAATTGGGTCTTTTTGTGGAATTTTCCCATTTATTAAACTAGTACGTGGATCATGCGACATGGTGAAAAACATTGTAATTCTATTATAATTTAAAATATAAATAACAATAATAATGATTTACTAATTATTTTTTAAATAGTACTAGATCGAATAGTCCGACCAAGTGGACTGCGAAACGCTTTATCCATTGGACTTCGTTTGAATAAAATGTTTGTTTGCGAACCTATAACACCAGTCACTCGAACTACTAGGATTTGTACAATTTTTAAATAAATTTTGTAACACCAACAAAAGAGAAGCTATGCCGACTGATGCAACACTCAAAACTATCTTACAAATGTTGTGACTATAGTCCTTCACATGTACGTTTAGCCGGTTCCACCAAAATCATATAAAAGAAATACCCGTCCTCTTCCCGATTCAACAGTTGTCACAATCTTTGAATATATCCCCCTTTGTTCATCAGTCATATTTTTTAGAAGTGCTTCGATAGATAAAGCCTTTCGATCATAATTCGGTTCATGCAATACCAAACGTTAGAACTAGTATAGATGTTGTCCTTGTTCGAAAAACGCATAGTAAAAAATTTTCGAAGACTTGATCCGCGTCTCAATAATGTCTAAATATCTTCAAGAACTATACTTTTTATTTCTCCATCGCTTATCTTCAGACCTGAACAAGAAAAATGAAATGACACTGTTAAACATTACATTTGAAAAAAAAAAACAATAATACTTATTTAATATTATATAGTATTTGATTATAGACACAAATCGTAATATAATGAATTATTGATATGAAAAACAATATATATAATCATTGTTGAAGAGCCTGTATAGTACGTCTCAAACAGAAACTGCGAACACTTTTCCACACTTCCCCAGATCTACCCGAAGAACCAGAAACCAATTAAGAGGCAACCACTAACTTGCGTCAATTATGCCATTAATGTACTCTTGATTATCACCCAACAAACCGCGATCATAGCAAAAACATACAACAAATACTGAACGTCGATAGTCTTCATGTAATCCTCATGGCAAGTTGCTCCACGTACAACATTAACCAAGCACCTCATGGCAAGTTGATCAAACCGTTCACTCTACATTTTACTTCATATAAAAAAATCTTTTTATCCTCTTTATTTTAATATCAAAATATAGTTAAATTAGATATATTATTTTATTTACGTATTTAATTATTCTAATTATAGTCATACCATTGATAAAAATAAAAATTTAAATAAACATAACAATATTTATATATAAAAAAAATATTTACTAAAACATGTATCTAGTATTTACTAAAATACTAATGAAATTTAAAGAAAAAATTTAATTTGTAATCTAAGTCGTAGATTATATTATAGTTTTTTGTATTTATTTATACACAATTTGTAAAAAAGCATATACTGAAGAAAAATAAAAGAAAAAATTGATACATTTATAAAATTATATTATAAATTTGATGGTATTTATTAACTTAATACATACAAAAAAATGTATATATATGGAGAATTGGAGATATAATCTGGTTGAGGTGGAGAGAAATTTGAAAATTTCACGGGACTCATTATATATTCATAAAATTAAAAAATAGAAAATTCGACACCATTCTTCATCGACATGAAGGGAATTGTGTGAAATTAGGTTTATACTTCATAAAATTCATTTAAAAATTTTTAGAGTGATTTGAATTTCAAGAGTTCTTGGGGACAAAAAGCATGGTTATTTAAATTTTAAATATGAAAGGGTAAACAAATTATTTATGAAATTGAATTCATTTCATTTCAAGTACATCTAAATATATTTTGACTACTAATACTTATTTATTTATTTTGTAGTTATAGATTTTATATTTCTGCTTATGTTTGTAGGATGTTCTGTGGCAAGAATCACTACCAAAACCAATTTTTTTGGATCCTATTCGGCCCGATTAGCTGAACCAGAGCCAAACTCAGACTTGGCTCGGTTAGCAAATGGCCAAATTGGTCGACCCAAGCAAAACCTAAGCTTTGGATCTAAATGGTCGAATCCCAATTTATAAGTGTTTTGTCTCTTTTCATGGATTTTTTCTTGGGTGGATTTTTTCTCGGTGTTAGCTGTCTTTTCCTCTTGGTACTAGTGTAAATCCAAAGTGATGCAAGTCCTTGTGATCTTATACCAGCGTTAAGTATTTATACAATATTTATCCCTCTCTGTATATTAATTGAGAACGTGCTGAGCCTATATGGCAGGCTCGCATGCTTCGGGATTCTATGTGGCAAAAATACATGCTTCGTTATTAGGCTTGAGTAGATTTAGTTTACTTTTAATCCATATATATTTAGGTTCGGATTATCTATAATATGTTGATTATTTATGGTAAGGGTGGGCGCCGACCGGGACGGTCTTGGATTTGACTTGTTCGAATACCCATCCCACTTTTATGAATCCGTTCATGAACGAGGCACCGTCGCCACCAATGTAATACATGGGTGTTGTACTAGTTATTTGTTAAAAGCAAAATTGATTGGTCGACCAGAGCTAACTCCCAAGTATCATGGCTTAATTGCATTAAAAAACTTAACCTTTTATTTAATTGCACATAAAACTTCACCTTTTTAACTTGGCAAAAAAATACTGAACTTTTAATAAGTATTGCAATTGTGTCTCGGAATCACATTCCGGACATGGCATGTCGGTAAGTTGACGTGGCACTCATCAGAAAATGAACCTCCATGTCACACCCCACGTCATCTATTCTTCTTCCCCATTTTCGCAGCCCAGCCCAACCATTCTTCTTTTTTTCTGAGAATAGTTGGGATGGGCTGCAAAAATGGGGGAGAAGAATAGATGACGTGCTGGTGTGACATGGAGGTTTATTTGTCTGATGAGTGCCACGTCAATTTACCGACATGCCATGTCAGCGTCACTTGGCCGGAATGTGATTTCGAGATACAATTGTAATATTTACGAAAAGTTTAGTATTTTTTTGCCAAGTTAAAAAGGTGGAGTTTTATGTGCAATTAAACAAAAGGTTATAATTTTTAATGCCATTAACCCAAGTATTATAGACGAATTCATTTCAAATTTCAATTCAATTTTTCTTCAAACACTTTAATCTAACAACAAAAGCTTATTTATATTGACAAAAAATATCAAATGTTGTACAAAACCCAGATAAGCAAAAGAGGAAGAAGAGAAAAACAAGATGATACAGAGGTTTTTCAAGCGACATTAAGAAGGGCACACACACTGCTATCAAACCTACAAGTTTCATGATTTTTTTTTTCCTTCAAAATAATTTTCACATAATTTACTTTCCAAAATTTCTGGCAAATTCTACCTAAACCATCTTTTTTTTTTCTCTTCACCTATTTTTTCCTCTTGACAAACGAGCCTCATATCAAGGCTCGTGCGTGTTGACTCGGCTATGAAGCTCTAACATTTCTTGGTGGTTAGGGTCAACCGAGAGTGCAGCTCGGCAGTCTCTCAAGGCTCCCATGACATCACCAATGTGCTCGTGGAATGCAGCTCGCAAGTGGAGAAGATGAAGATCGGCTTTGAATGCTATAGCTCTCGACAGCTCAGCAATGGCTTCTTTCTCCTTGTGGTTATCCATCAACACTGCACATAATGAATTGAATATGTTCATGCAAGATTAAGATCTGTCGTAAAAAAAAATGTGCCTGCAATTTTATGGAGTTCAGTTAAGTCTACTAATTGCGCCGGACAAGAAATGAATCTAATCTAATTACAAAAAATAAGCAAATCTTTCACAAATTATACAAAATAATTTTGTGCCTCGTTGAGGGGCATATCCTAAAAAGAAAATCACCATTTTAACATAAAAAACGTACATAAAATATGACATAAATGATGTAAGCTAATAGTAATTCTTGATTATGAAGATGATATGATTGTGTGAAAATCATGAAATTCTGCCAAGTGTAAGTTATGTCAATGTTTATGTACACTACAAAAACTACCCATCAGGATTTAGCCTAATTGCAGGGAAAAACGGTGCCATCAAAATTGCAAAGACAAATTTCTGGAGGAATTTGTACCGACAGAAGGGTCTATTCGTAATTCTTTCAGATAACTACTGTAAATATGCTAAACTTATGGGTGATGATATTGTAACTACTAATAATACCCAGAAAACATATTCACACATCAAAGAGTAGTAGCAGTACTAGTAACTTTGGGGGTCTTTTGTGATATTGAAAAAAGATAACTGGTAATTCTGTAATTTTGCTAAAACTTCTCAGTTAGTGTTTGTTTTCTAAACCTAAAACTTTGTCAGAAGAATATTAAAATCAATTACAGCACTAAACTTCAACTAAACACAAGTGTTTGCCTTTTATGTACTAAATCTGGCAGGCTAAAAAAACAAACAAAAAAAAAAGGGCAGTAGATCAAAATTTCATACAATGGCGAAACTGACCTGCAGCTCGATATCTATACGGATAAACTCGAAGAGGATCAAGACGAGTGACCATCTCAAGATCCGCCTTTGTGAGGTCACGCTCACAATACTCTGACCTCTTTTCGTAAGCAGATGCATTATTTCTTGCCTTCTCGATCAGTTTAGTCATCTCAGCGTATGCTGCATTTTTATCATTTCTTAGGAAGTGGACACGGGCCAGGCCCTGGTGGGCCCGCGTGTGCCGTATTTTGAGGGCATTGATGTAGCAATCGGCTGCAGCGTCTAGCTTTCCACAGTCGACATATACACTACCGAGATTGTTCAGGGCCTAGTTTAGAACCAGAAAGCAGATTTTAAAACATAAATAAATAAATAAATGAAGAGGCTTTAACTTGGAAGATGAGATAAATGTGATGAAAACAGATGAATTGCATCTGAAACCAAGATAAATGAATTTACAAAAACAAGCATGGGGTGAATATTTACTAAACTAAACCAAATTGCACCAGCTTTGTATATTAAATAACTCAATTCATACTCAAAATTTAACACAACTCTAATTCTCAATATTATCAATATAATTAAATAATATTGACCAATCATTCTTACACATTACATTAACTTTAATTCACTATTTATCCACTCACATACAATAACAACAACAACAACATACCCAGTATATTCCTAACAGGTTGGGGTTTGGGGGGTCAGTTGTACGCAGACCTTACCCTTGTAATTATACAAGGAGGAGGCTGTTTCCGTAGCGACCCAAGGTGCATTGCGCCGTTTGATATATTTTTTTTTTTTCTAGAAACTTCACTAATAGAAGAAGCACTAGAATTTAATTGAGCCATTTTGATCTAGTCCATTATTAGCACTATGCCAGGAGAATTGTCAACAATGACTCTTCCAGCTCCATTTGCAATGGACAAGATTTATCCACTCACATAATTTTAACTAACCATAACTTCACATCTTATATATCAACTTTTTTAAAATTAACCATGGTTAATTAAAAAAAAAAAATATCGTTTTGAGCGGATATATTTGTATCCAAGCACGCCCTAACATTATAATTAGAAGAATTACAGAAAGTGCCGATAAGGTTTATTATAATTTGAAGGATTACATGTTCCGTTTTCGTTTTGTTTCTTTCTCGGTAATTGAGCTGAATCTCAGAGGTACTTTTTGTAAAAATCCCTTAATACAAGAAAATTTCAGTAGATTTTACTTGTAGCCACAATTAGAACATTTTCCAAAAAAAAAAAAACTGTTATAAAATGCTGTAGTCTTCCAAGATTTTCCAGTTACCAAATTGGGAAAATACATTACCTGGCCTTTGCGAAGTCTATCCGAAGGGCACTTCAAAGCTTCTTCAAGAAGAGAGACAACAGTAGACGAACAAGATGGATCCTGACTGGAGTCGGCTAAAGCATAGGCTTTCAAGAAAAAAGCTTCAAAGGACCTCTGGAGATTAATAGACTCCTCAGCTTTTTGTAGCCCTTCTTCACAATGACCAGTGTCGTATAATATCCATCCCTCGTAAACTAATCTTTCAGGTTCACTTGATGCATGCTGGCGAGCCAGCTGCAAACTCCTCATTGCAGCTTCAGGACAATTGAGTCTGATAAGAATAGAAATTAAAAATACGTTAGTTTTCGAGCCAACTGATGCATAATTAAGAATTAAGAATCTGAAATTTTTATGTATGAAACCGGGTAAGCTAAAAGTGTAATACATTTAACAAAATGGCTGATTGTTTCAGGTACTAGCTAAGTATTGGCTCAAAAACAATAAAAGATAGATACTTTATTTTGAAGGAAACAAATGCAGGTACAGATAATTTGTTATAACAAAATATATATTTTTCCTTATGAATTTAATATACCACTAATTGTTCTTTCTCTGTGTGTGCGCGCAAAAGCCCGTGTGCTATTCAAAAAGGACAATAAAAGAAAAGAAATCAGGACAGGCCGAATCCTGGTTGAGCCAACTCCTGAGTCCACCCATGTTTGGCGGTTGGATATAAATTATATCCAGTTTCGTCTCATTGGATAAATATTTTTCACTAAACAAGTGATTGGATATAAAGTATAAATCAATCACTACTACACATTTCCTGAAAAAAATCATTATTCATCCACTCATATTTTAACTACCTATCATTTACAATCATTATTTTACTAATTAATTATCACACACATTTTATCTCATATCTATTCACATACTCAAAAATAATTTATTCTTCCACCCAAATTATTTTTCCATTTTTTTCATCACTTTTACCATTGAGATAAGTTTTTTTTTTTCCCCACAATTGCAAAAACATTTAGATTTTTTTACAGATACTTCAGAAATGGTTCTTGACAAAATGCAACACTACTTTTAGTTATCAAATTCAAGCCAAAATTGTTACCTTAAAAATGCATTGCCCAAATTACTGGAGACAAACAATGCTTAAATGCTGCTAGATGCAACAAAAAAAACAGCAATATCAGACACTACACTACTAAATGCACTAATAAGCAAAACCAATAAAGCACTATTTTCTCGCACAACATACAAAACCAAAAAAAAAAAAATTATATATAAGCAGCAAAAGTTAACTCACCTGAGAAGCAACAACGACTGTCTAAAGTAAAGTACTCCTTTAGCCGCATCTGATTCCAGCATCTGATATATAACAGACAACGAACCAATATCATCCACCAAAGACCACTTATCATAAAGCTGCAGCCAACAATCCGCCGTAGTCCACTTCTCCACATGCTCCCGTACAAGCAAACGAAGCTGCTTGGCCGCAACTCGCCCTCCGAGCATCCTATAACCGGGACACAACGTGAGTATCGCCTGAACATCACATAAAGCCGACTGATAATCCTCGAGCGCCAAGTAGAAACAAAACCGAAGCTCCAAACATTCCAAGGCCAGCTTAAAACCGAGCACCCGGTTAATCTCATCGAGTGCCGACTGCACGTCATGCTTCCTCATAAAAAACGCGGCCCGATACATGTAGGGGTAGGTCAAAGTGGGGTCCAGCTCACTAGCCCGATCAAGCTCCTCAAACTTATTATCATCATCATCACAGTACAACGAACGCTCCTGATGCATCCACCCGAGCGGTGGAGCGCAAGAGGTTGTTATTATTACGGACGTGATTTTCTCGTGGGCCCAGTCTTTACGGCCTCTAATGAAGCCAGCTATTCGGGCCAGGCCCGAAACGGAATAGATGTGGCCTTCAGTTAAGGCTGCTTCGAAAAGCCTTTCAGCCTCTTCGTATTCTTTTCTCATTAGATGGACACAGCCCAGTTGGTGAAATGCGATCATTTTCTGCTGACCTGTCACGGCACAGTCAGCCAACTGCTTCAGGAAAAGAACGGAAGTATTGGAGGACGAATCGGAATCTAAAGAAACCTCGGATAGTAAAGAATAGAGGGAAAATGAGGCGGGCCCCATGATGATAGACCTCTGCTGCGCGTCGAGGCCGGTTAGCAGCCTGACCACACGCTCGTCTTCCAGCAATGTGGGGAGTTCGAGGAGGAAAGCTTGCAGGCACGAGGCAGCTAATACTGGGGAATTATGATCGAGTGAGAATTCCACGAGCTCGATTGCGTCTGGGCTGGAGGAAACTAAGGAAGCGAGTTTCTTGTCACAGGCATCTTTCAGGCCTTCACAGCAGAACCTGTTTGCGAAGACTAATATCTCTAATAAAAGACGATGTGGGACATCATCGCTCAAGACTCCTCCCGTTATGCAGTAATCGTTTATCGCTCTCATTCCTAAAGGAGATATGTTGTTTTCCGAGAGATCGATGACGTTTTTGAAAGATTCTGTGAAACACCCGTTGAGCATGGCGTGAAATGGAAGCGAGAGCTCGGCTATTGCCCGCCTTTCGCAAATTACCTTCTCGTCCCCGATTTGGAACGAAACGAGACGAGGGGCAAGGATGGGATTTGTCGAGTTCTTGGAGGTTTGGGGTTGTTGCTGTTCCCTCTTAGGAAATTCGGAGGCGATATCTATCGAACCAAACTCGTTTTTGCATTTGCCGCAGGAGGAAAGCAATTCGGATATGATTTCTTCTCCTTGCTTCTTCTCGTATTTTAGCCACGCCCCGAAGATGAGCTTTTCGTAGACAGTGCTCGAGTTGAGATAGGCTGAGTGGAGGCTCCTCCTCATCAGCTTGGACTCGCGAAGGCCTTTGAAGACGTGATATTGTAACAAGTAAAGGCTCGATTTTTCGGAAGGGGGGCATGACTCGAGCTCTTCGTGAATTTGGGCCAAGACTTTAACATAATCGACGGGTTTGTAGAGTGGGAGAATCGGGGGATCCGGGACCTTGACAAGGGTATCACTGTGAAACAAGAATATAAAATATTAATAAATAAGGTCATCTACACACACAAAACATCAAACAGTTTGGAGAGATTACATACATTGAAGATGGAGACTGAGGTGAGAGTTTAGAGAGCTTTCCTCTTTCAACTTGGAGCCATGCCTGAGGATTGATGGAGCTTAACAGTGGTTCTTTACAAGCATCTGAAGGAAAACGAATCCTCATGGGACAAAGGAGATGAAGAAGGTCCCAGATCTCCACAACAGCAAAGATATAATCTTTCCTCGAAATTTCGAAGAATAAATCAACTATACAAATAAAAAAAAAAGGAAAAAAAAAAAAAGAAATGAAGAAGACTTTCACTCACAAACCACCAGTCTCCAAATCTGGGGAGCTTCCCCAACCCAAGCCACCAAAATGAAATCTTTTTAACACAATTCAATTATGCTAAAGAGCAACAGCAATTTCTCAACCAAGTAAAAAAAAAGGCTCAGATAATGATAAACATTTAAATAAATGAAAAATAGAACCCTTTAGCTTAAGAAACTCTGAACAAATGGAAGCCTTCAGGCTTCAAGGCTTAATATAAACTAAAAGAAGCCAAAAACCTACTGACGTTACGTAAGATCTCTACCTGAAATGTAACCAAAACCACATTTAAGCCAACAAATCTCCTAATAATGAAAAAATTAAATAACTAACCCACCAGAAAAAGATGAGTACTGAACCGAAATCAAGAAAGGGGCCACTAGCCTTTCGGTCTCGATTTCAAAATCCAATAACAAAGAGAAAATTAGAAACTAGTAATCGGGTACTGAGCAGCAACGTCCAGCGTGTGAATCCAAATGAGAAAAATACTTCACAACAGTGTTTCACTTTTCTTCGTTCGGTAAAAGCAAAGGTTTCACTTTTCTTCTCTCGCCTCGTCTTTTCCAATTTATCGGCGTTAAAACTTTCACTTATTTCTATTATTATAAAAATAGATGAGATAAAAATATACTTAAAACATGGAATATAATATATTAAATAATAATAAAGGAATATATTCGGAAATAATGTGTATCCAAATCCAAAGATCTCAGTACATTGTTATTGGAATTTTATGAATACCTTATTAGTCATAAAATGGATCAACTATAAACTGAAATACAAGTTATATTGGTTCAGGCTCTCTATAAATTTAGAACTCTAGTTTCTATTATGGATAAATTATCAATTCAGATTTAAATGATAAAATTTATCAATTCGAAACTTAAAAATTTATAAATTTTTCAATTAATACAAGATTCTTAAATATTTTTTTGTGATTTTAAAAACTTCATTAAGATAATTTAATTATTTAAATAAATATGTTTGATAACCAAATAAGTTAGTTTATAGCTTATTCTCTTAGATTATAAGTTTTTTATACTAAAATAAATTTCGCTTGGTAGGACGAGCTTTTTTAAAAAAGTTCGAGTTTATCTCATAAGTTACTTTAGGAAGCTTTTCAAATAAGCTAGTTAGATTTTTTATTTCAACTAGCTTAGTAGTTAATTTACCAAACACTTTTATCATATAAGCTAGATTTTCAGCTATAAGTCATAAGTTATAAGTTAAAAAATTAAAAATAATCTATAAGCTCATTTATCAGCTATCAACTAACTTATCAACTAATTTTACGGTTTTACCAAACATAGCCTAAATATTCGATGTTAAATTAAAAATGGATTTATTAATAAATTGTTTTTCTTTGTCCATTCAATAGAAGTAAATGATAAAAACTTTTAGAGAAGTCCATTTTGAAAATAAATTTATCAAAAGTGAACCTAAACAACCACTGAGAATCTTAAGGTATTTAATTTAATTTTCTTATTTTTTGTTTTAAAAAAATCTCTTAAATTTCTTATAAAGTTTCAGATTTCAAAAAAATTAATAATGTCATTCATAATTTCAAACCAACTAGTATGAGTCTCGTGCAGTGCATGGATAAGAGATATTCCTTAATATTTATAAATTAAAAATTCTTATTAAATAATATTTAGAAATAAAAAATATGGAATCAATATGTAATACAATTTACCTATATTAATTTATTGAAAATGTTATATAAAGTTTACATTGTGCAAAATTACATAAAAATATATGTTTAAATTTAGTATACAACCCGTGTGGTGCACATAACTGATAATAATTTACATTATATTCGTTTCAAAATAAGTAACATTTCAAAACTTTTATTCAGAAAATCGATTTGACTATATGTGATTGTTTAAAATAGTTATTTTGGTAAAATGTTATCATATATTTAACAAACTATGTGAATAATAATATAAATATAAAATTTCTACTTTTCATTCCTTGAAATAATTTATTATTGTATAAACTATTCAAATAAAAAAAATTAAGTAGTTGAGTAATTTATTAAATTAAATAATTGACCATTTCGTTTAGGTCCAAGTTAATATTGACCCGTAAGTTATTGAGTAATATATTAAATTATAAGTAATTTACTATTTCGTTTACGTCAAAGTTAATATTGACCCGTAAGTTATGAATAATTATTTCTAAATTTAAATAAAAATCTTTTTATTTTTTTTTCAATATATTATATACCAATTTAAACCATGCAACTAATAAAGGTAATAGCTGCAAGTTTTGTCAATATATTATATTCCAAATTTAAATCATGCAACTAATAATAAAGGTAATAGCCGCAATATTTGACCAAAATAATTCTCTACATTGATTTAGGTGGGATCTTTCAAATTTTAGCCAAAAATTATTATTCAATATAGTAAATAATTTAGACGGAAAACCAAATATTTTTTGTTGATTTTTAGTTGCTATTTCAAATAAATTCATTGCATCTTTATATATTAATAGATACACTCTCTTAAATATTAACATAATTATTTTATGTTAACAAGTGAGGACAAGACCATCAAGAAGATAAATAACAAACAATAAAATATAAAATAAATAAAAAAAATGAAGAAAATTCATTAAATTTATGCTACGATGTTATCTTGGCACGTGATTGGAGCATAAATTAACAATGGTTTTCATCTCATATATTTATTCATTTTTATTTTATTTATAACTCAACATTTTTTATTTATAAAATTTTATATTTAATAATTGATGTGGCATATAAAAATTTACCATCATATATCTGTATTTTTTTTTTCAACACGTTTTTATTTAAATTTTTAATAACCGTGTTTAAAGTCTCAAACTGATTGATTATTGACTATTTTAAATTTGTATTCAAACCCATTGATTATTGACTATTTTAAATCTCGACATAATATATTTTATATATTTTAAACTATAGTTAAATCATCTTTTGAGACACATACTGATAAAATTTCATTATTATATATGAATTTTTTTTTTTAATTTATGCTAACAATCTATATCTATATCTATATCTATATCTATATCTATATCTATATCTATATAAAGAGGTTGTTGGAAAAATACATTAATAGAAAGTTTGACCAAATAAATATAATATTTGACTTACTATTAAGGAAAGTTCAAAAAAACACATGTGAATCTTAAGTAACCAAATCTAAATCCTATTTTTTTGGTAACAAATTTGAAAATTCTTATGGCAAAATTTGAATCCCATTTTTTTCGTATCATATTTTATTGTTTTAACCAATATTTACATCATCTTTTTTGGTAACAAATTTGGAGATTCTTATGCAAAAAATATGTCAATTATTTATGAAAACAATTCTAAATACAAATTATTTAAAAACCGTGCAAATTGGATACAAATGTAGGAAGCAAATAGTTGTATAATTCTTAACCAATTTTTCCAATCTTATTGAATACTTTTTTCTTTCAAAAAAATTGTGTAAATTGGATAAAGCCACGTGCAATTTTTATTTTAAAATAAAATTGATATTTGGACGGGATGTACATTCAAAATTGTGTCCACAATTGTTGGTAACAAAAGCGATTCATCATTGATATTTAACGTCATCTTATCTAACTATTTAGAAAAAATTGTGTGCAACTTTTCAAAATTTAAATGCATCGATTTTTTTGGATTCTTATGTTTTTTCTTAACCATGTTTTACGGAGATTTTGGTAAGTTCATATCATTTTCTTTAGAAAAAAAAAACAATTGCATAAACATTAACAATTTATTTCAATTTTTTATTAAAATTATTTTCAATTCAATTTGTTTAGTACAAAAATCGGTGCAATGTTAGCAAAATTCGGTTGCATTTTTAGGAAAAATTGAAGATTTTTTTATTTGATTTAAAAAAATATTCGGATAAATTTGTTTGATAAAAAAATCGGTTTATTGGTAGGAAAATCGGTTTCATTTCCAAGAGTAACTAATGATTCTTTTCAATTTTTCTTAATTGAAATTTAGAATTAGATTTAATTAAATAATGAGTGAAAATCCCTAAAAAATCTACTTTTGTTCTACTTTAATTTTGTTTAATAAATAAGATCCTTTAATTTTTTTTAAAAAAATTATTAACTAATAACTAATAATATGCAACTTTGGATAAATTCGAACATCTATGTAGTACTTTACGTGACAAAGAATCAAATCAATAATGTTGTACATAAGGAAGTGTTTAGTAACATATAAATTTTATTTTCATGAAATTTTTAATGGCATGAGACAATTTAAATACAAAAATATCTTTTAAAAAATAAATAGATAATAAATGTTCTTGTACATCGCACGGGTACCGTACTAGTATAAATAGTAACACGCCCTTTTAGTGCAAGTCTTTTCAACCGGACCACTCCAAATTATGTGTAACCGAATTTTGGTTTGGAACATGCGAGTATTATATTTTT